GTGTTGAATTCATTTTTAAAAAAACTATTATTATAACAATTCAAATAAGGACCATAATAATAATGATGCAAATAAGGCCAATATTTTATGTGCTTTGTGATGATAAATGTTATGATTTAGTAAAATTTATGGTCATTTTGTTATTTTTTCATATATATATATATATCATATAAATAGAAAATATTAAGAAGTATAATAATACAAAATAAATAAATTCATCTTCAAAGCTAAGGTGATCTATCTAAAATATTATAAGTTTTCAAGCTATGAATCAAAACAAAACTTAAAAGAAATTACACTCATATTTCATTAAAGAAGGTAGAAAGTGAAGAAAGAGGATGTTAATGCATGTTCAACATAAGTCTTATCAATACTTATTTTTATATACTTATGCAAAGTAATAAAAGTATATATATGGATATATCTATATAAACATAAAAATCTAAATTTTCAAAATCTATCAAAAATAAATTATAAAGTTTTACTAGAATAAAAGAATTAAGAAGGTTTGAAATAAAATAAAATATGCAAAAAAAAAAAATAGTTGATTTTAAGTAAAAATTCTTTATAAATAAATAGATATAATTTTTTTTTAAGAATATTGCTTCAAACAACTCAATAATCTTAAATAAAATAGCATAATATTAAAAAAAATTATAATATCATTAAAATTTTATAATTGAAATAAATTTATAAAATTAAAATGATATTATTATATTTTACGAAATTATAGTGATGAAATTCATAGCATGATATTAATAAATTACTATTAAAAAATAAAATATGATTAAATTAGAAAACTATATAAAAAATTAGAATAAAATTTGAAAGTTCTAAACTTTTAAGATTAGAAAAATATGTATTTAAATATTATAATAATTTTATATTGTCTAAAATAATCCATCAAAGATATAAATTAAGTAGCACTACCACTGACGTCATTGAATTGCATATGTTCCATATGGCTTCTAATGATCTAATAATAGTTATAAAATATAGATAAGTCTTCTAAATTACTTGAAGATTATTATATCTGTTAATTAAAACTACAAAATACATGTGAATTTGGAGTGATAAAAATAAATAAATATTTAGAATGTTTAAGAAAGTTTTTAAAAAGTATTTCAGTCATATTTTATTCTTTTGTATGAAAACTTATAATTACTAAATTAATATTAAAATTCAAAAACTTAACACAATAAATACTGTTATTTTAATCCAATTTCTATTTGATACCATATTTAGGTATTTCTTGTTTAAAAATAAATATTTTATAACGTTTTTTTTCATATATTTATATTAGTCGTTTTTTGATTTATCAAATTCTAGGTGAATATTTAAATATAATTTTATTTATTTTTTATCTTTTTTTCAAAATTAAATATGAAATCTATGTAGAATTTAGTAATTTTTAAAATAAGATATTATTTTAAAATATTTTATGATAATATTTTTTATTTCTAAATATAACCATTAATAGTATCAAAATTTATTACTAGAAAGAAGATTGGGTAATTTTACATTTTTTTAATATCAATATGGATATAATGGATTTTGATCTAAAAGAAAACAAAGAAAAATAAATTTTAATAAAAGTTATAATATTTTGTGAATCTCTGGTGCTAATATGAGTGATTTATTTTCTTTTGTTTTTCATAGAAAAAAAGCAAGTAAATAGTTTATTTTAGATACTCCAAAATACCTGATTACTATAAATCTTTGTAGATTTATAATTTTATTTTTGTTAAACAATTGAAACTCAATAATATGATTGTTATACATTCTAAGTATTAACTCAACTAAATTGCAGATAATTATGAATAAGAATTATTATTCAGTATTTGAAAATATCCAATTAACTTAAATTCATCACATTGCATTCAAATCTATTTTAATTTCTTAATAATAGCCTTAACAAGTTAATGACGTCTTATGATAGTAAATATTAGAAAATTATCATGTACATTAATAATTAAATAAATAAAATTACATCAAGTATGTGAGTGCTTTTAAAGTATCTGTCTCACTTTTAAGCTATTTTAGTATATTAATAAAAATATTAATAGCTACATAGGAATCATCTTCTAATATTTATTAAGATTTTATAATTAATACATTGATAATACTTAAGACTTTTATAGCCCTAAAATTCTCTTAATTCTTTGAAATTATTCAAATTCTTACATACTTCTAAATCACATATAATTTTAAATCTAAAAAAAATAGAAAATAAAAATATTAATTCTTTAATTTAACTACATTGATAGATTATATCATCTATCTTAATCAAAAAAATATGCTCATAATTATAAACATAGAAAAATTAATATAAAACATAGTTTTTTCTACAAAAAGTTGTAAATGAAATCATATATAGATGTGGTTCTATATCTATATATGATTTCATTTACAACTTTGTATAAAAATCATGTTCTAAAGCATCTACAAACCCTTGAAGATTATACAAAAAATATTCTAAATCTCCACTAAATAGAACAAACTACAGGAGGTGCTATTATTCACTCTTATTTTCTAAAAATAGGTTAGACTAATGCCTTTAACTCTTTTAAATCATCCACTAAAATAAATTTATTTGCATATCATATGCACCTATTATAATACATGTATTAACATTAAAAAACTCAAAAATATTTTAATAAAAATCTATATTTTATTTAGATAATACGTGTATTAATAAAATAAATTAATAACTTATTAAATCAAAATAATTTAATATAAAATTTTATTTATTGTATATATTAAGATTTAATAAAAAAATCTTGATATTTCTTAGTAGATTGAATTTGATCCTTTTACTTAATTAATTTTTTAAATAACTATATAAAAATAAAGATTATAATGTCTCATTCAATCTAAAAAAACTATTTATGGTATTTTAGACAAAATGCATACTTTTCCTTTTTATTCAAATCTTAATGTGTAAATGAATGTAAATATAAAATTATAAATGTAAGCTTATTTACAAAAGAACTTATGATTTTAAACAATTATGAAAATTATTAACTTTTAAAATAAATTATCTAACTAAGGTGCATAAAAGCATTTTTTGTGAAAATATCTAGTTTATATTTGAAATATTACTTTATATTATTTAGACTCTAAGTAAAAAATTTAGCTTTTAAAGAGACTTCAATTTGTTACAAATATAAACTAACTTGGCAAACAAAGACTTTTTATGATTTATACTAAATCAAGTATACAAATATCAAAGTTTGATTTTTTAAATTTTATTTAATTTTTAAAAATAAAATAATAAATTATTTTTTATATCATGTGCGAATAGACTTATTTTTATTTTTATTAATATATTATTTAAATAATTTAAAAACTTTAAAAGATAATTAAAAATTAATAAAATTATATTTATAATATGATTAATTTTTAAATATATAAAATTTAAAGAAAATTTCTACTTTAATGTTATTTAGAATTTTTAAAGATAATTTTATTTTTTATACTAAAATAATTTTTAATTTTAGTACATTTTTTTTGTATTACGTTTTGGTGTTAATATTATCAATTAATTTGTTAATATTTCTAATAATATCAAGTCAATATGTTTTAAAAAATAATCAATTTAATAAATATTCAATGTATAATAAATATCAAATAATTACCAAGTTCTTTATTTATGTACTTTATAAGATATTCTTATATAAAATAATCTATTTGAAAAATTCCTTGGGAATTTTTTTAAATGTATAATATATTGATCTTATTTAAAACAAAATTGGCATGTGTAGTAGTAACATTAATTACTAAGTTTATGCTAATTATAATTAATTCAACTAAAAACATTATATAAAAATATAATATACTTTATAAAAATACAACATAATTAATTAAAAATTAATAAATTAGAATTAAAAATTTTAAAATTACAAGTTGCATCTAATTTTATACAAATTATAAAATTTTAGTCAAATAATTAATTATTATATTTTTTTAAAATCATAAAACATTTATAAATTGAATTTTTTACAACTAATAGTAATGTTTTCAGAAATCTGCGAAAATAGGTTAAAATTTAATATCCTTTGATTGTAAATCAAACAAAATAAGAATAAGTCAAAAAATTATAATTAAAATAATAATAATATATATATATATATATATTAATCTCAAATCAAATACAAATTATTAATTTTATATGATTTAATAATTTATTTTACTTATATAATAAAAAATAATAAAACTATTATAATTAAATAATATAACTAAAAGTAATTTCTTCAATAATTATATGAGTCAAAAAATAATTTTATTTTATTTATTTTTTATTACAATGATAATATCTTGTTATTTCAAAAAATAATTGGTCTTTAGTTTGGATGGATAATATTTGTGAAAAAATCAATTTTGAACGAGTATTTTTAATCCAATTTTCAGATTTTTAGATGTCTTCCATATGTACTAATTAACTAGTACTTATTTTTACACATGAAGACACATGTAGATGTGAAATTCTGTGCTGTTCAATAAATAAATAAATAAATCGTCATGCATATTCGAAAACTGTACGTGATTCAACAAATCATTTTAATTTAGAAAGTTTGACATTCCAATTGGAATGTCAGAATTTATCAACATGGCCGTTCCAACAAACAAACAATGGTGGACCATGCCACGTATTCGACGGTAACACAATACAGCATCGGAATCAAAATACGGTTCTCAATCTTGATACGATTACAGTATTCCACGCGTGCAAGACGGATTGGGTAACCGGAACTTACGGCCATGAACTGGCGGCGAAGAGAAAAGCAGCTGTTGCCCTCCACGGATGCTAACGACCGCGAATGAGTGCGTTTAACCGTGGACGATTCAAGATATGTAGTGACAGTGAAGATGTGGTGGGTTGCGGCTGGGAGGTAGATGCACTGCCATGGAGCAGGGGGGGGGGGTGGATTGACGGAGGCAGGTAGGTTGGTGGGAATGGAGTGATGAAGTCGCTGGAAAGGGGCAAAGGAAAGGGAGAGGAGAGACAGAGAGAGGGAGAGAAACCGAACTACCACAGGGGCGTGGCTTCAAATGCCAATGTCAATCGCCGTAGTATTGGCATTGAATGCTCACCACCTTCATTGTCATGAAACTCTGCATCTCGGTTTGAGGCATTCATTCACATTCACACCCTCCTCTTCTTCGTCCTCTCTCCTGGTCTTCTTTTTCTGTCTCGAGCAGTGTCTAGTCGCTGCCTGCTCAGCCAGCCAGCCAGGCCCGCTGCCACACCATTTGCGTCCGCTGCTGCTGCAACAACCATCGTCGCTATCACCAACAACCGAGGATGCCTGCATTGTTGAGTGTTCGTTTTTGAGGAGAGGGACGATATTATCTACCGTCAGCGAGGCAGTGCCGAAGGCATAGTTGTTGAAGGCAGCTGGAGGGACTCGGGCGTTTGCTGCATGTTGATGTTGCTGGTTGTTAGTGCGGGTGGAGGAAAGGTAAATTTGGATCCGGATTTGGAGAGGAGGGGGGAGAGGGTGCAGTCGGGGCAAGGCGATTTGGTGAGTTAGAAATCGCACGTGGGAAGGAGTTGGATGTGGTAGAGCCAGGAGCCATGCTTCATTTTCAGATGCTGTTGTAGCTGCATGTGTGAGGAGAGACTGAGATTTTAGGTGCCTGGAAGAGAGATTGAGCAGCTTGTGTGGAAACGGGGTGAAGCAGGAGAGAAGAGTGGGAGAACCAGAGCTAGTTTGACCGTGAGAAAGGCCCCTCGGGCTAAGCGTACTGTACTGTCAGCAAAGGTCCACAGAGTTGACTGCAGACTCCCCGGTTTGAAGAGGAACTCGAAAAATCTGCATGCTAACTGAGATTAGTTGTAATCTAACATCCGCTTTGTAGTTTTGTGTCGCGACAGTGCGTGCCTCGAAGTGTGTACTAGGAAATTACTGTAGTTTTTGATGCGGGAATAGGCTAGAATGGAATGCGCTGTAGGTAAGTGAGGAGGGACGGTTTTAGTCGAAACGCGAAGTCGGGTGAAAGTTTGAGTTACATTAATGTCGTTATTGTTTCTAAGAACACGCGAACAACATTTACTCAGGTTGGTGTATGTACAGGTACGAGCTGAGCATGTGGAGGTTAAGCTGCCAGCATCCTCGACTGCTTCCAAGCTTTTGGGCTTCAACGACCGTCGGCATAGGCACATAGAAATATTCAACTTCTTGAATCGTTTTTAGACGTGCCATCTATCTGCTGTCTTCGTTTCCGTGTTCCCAACCGACTTCTTAAACATGAATGTCTGGTCCTTGAGCCTCGCTGGTGTACAGTAATAGAGGAACTTGGCTACGCAAAGAGAAGCAATATTGTTTCGCACTGCTATGCGGTGCATGTATTACCTACTGATCAGCTAGTTGATGACAGGTTTATACAAGATAGTGCACTCTGATACTGGTACTTTGGGTTAGAAACTAAGCAGCTTCCTCTGAAAATAAAGCTTCTATCTAGTGAAGAAGCGGTTCTTTTCTCTCAATGGAGGCAGTGTACAAGACTCCTTTGCCGGTTGTGAACTGTAGTTCCGCCGTTTCACGCTACTTGAACTTGCTTCATAAAACATCCTTAGAATGCAGTTTGGGACGCGGATTTGTTCGTCAACATCTGGCACACAAACCGAGGACATTGTTGTCCAAGCGCCTCAACAGAACCAAGCCAGGAGGTCAGATTTGGGGCCTTGATTTCCGCAGTGAAGCTACAGCAGGTGTTGAGGATTCCATCCCTGAGAAGGGTAATGCTGACATAGTGAGAAATACTGTAGAAGTGGTCGCGAGTGGTGGCCACTGTAGCAATCTGAATGGTTATCCTATTGTTGGAGATGCTGCTAATGGAGAGATAGCAAACGGGGATGTGGCAAATGAGGTTCGTCATGCGTTAACTGGTGACGCAAGTTGTGCCGTTGTAACTAATTCTGTCAACGGGGGCTCACATAACGGATCCGTGAACGGGAGCACCGTGAAGAGAACCTCACGAAATGGATCCGCGAATGGACATGCGACCTACTCTGGTATTCCGCCACTGAATGGATCTTCAAACGGTGCTGTTGTGAACGGAGCTTCAATTTATGCTGGACAGGGGAACACTGTCAATATACATTCTGTCAACGGAATCTTAGCAAATTCCCGGGCTGCCAACGCTATGTCTAAGAACGGAGCTCTTCATGAATATTCCAAGGCTCCTACTGCAGACGGTTCTGTCACCATGGTGCCAGAATTAGAGAGGCTTGTTCAAGCACCTTTGAACGTGCCTTCGAAACAGGCTGAGAATGACGGTATGATGGAGCGGATGCCCCATTTCGAAGATCCTTTGGTATTTGCTACGGGTTTGGCGCCCCTTCAAACGAAAAGCACAGCTACTGTCGAAGACGAAATAAGTCTAATCATGGGGGATGCTGCTAGGCAAAAATCGAGTGACGCTGATACCAGTGGTGGACTCGGTATACTGAAATTTTTGAAGGGGAAGAATCTTCTTGTCACAGGAGCAACAGGATTTCTTGCAAAGGGTACTGAAAACCTGACCAAACCATTCTGATTCTTGCTCGACTTATCCTAGCGATATATGGTTAGTTCAGCTCGAACAGGGGCACAGATCTCACTCTTCCCATTGTATCGTTGATAATTTAACTGGCGTGTAGTTCACTTATCGTCTCTGCTCACAAACTCCACTGTCCTTTGCCTGCAGTCATGGTGGAGAAGATTTTAAGGGTCCAACCTGATGTTGGACAGCTGTACTTGCTCATTCAACCACAGAAAAACGTAACAGCCGAGGAGAGGTTGAAAAACAATGTAAGATATCTCCCGTTGCCATTTCACTCATTGTTGTTTACACGTGGCTGAACATATGCAGTCCTAAGTGAAAACGTCCTCGTTTGTGCTGTCCGGAACATTATCTCATTGCTAGAAGTCTCACTGAAAAATTTCAGTCCAATTCGAAAATTTCCTCAGCGACTACTCAGCTGCACCAGTACACTACCTGTGCTAACGTTAAATTAACCAGTGGTTCTTGGCAACGGCAGAGCTGCACTGAAGAACTCGTATTAACCTGAATATTGGGGTTGAATCGTAGGTCATCAGCTCTCCGCTGTTCAGCGTGCTTAAGGATTCTTTTGGAGACGCCTACGAGGAGTTTATGAATAACAAGCTCACCGCAGTCAGCGGTACCATTTCCGCTGATGGTCTTGGGATCGCGAATGATAAGGCAGAGGAAATTTCAAAAACTGTACATATCATAGTGAATTCGGCTGCGACAACCACTTTTGATGAGAGGTAAAGCTGGCCAGACTTCCCCAGCAGATGGTTGCTATCTTGGAGACGGTGCTAGGTCTTCGTTGTGCATGCATTCGAGACAGTGTTTCTCTAGTGGATTTTTCTCACCTACTCGTGTTTTGGAAGCTTGCCGAATTCAAGATCGAGACCTCTCACAGAATTCCCCTAATTATGAAGTGCCCGCTCTGTCAAGAGTTAATGTTTTCTTTTTCTTTCTCTTTCATTATATAATATAATCACGCCTGGAACATCCCCGAATGAATCAGACTTTTCTGTGTTGGTAATAATGTTTTTTCTGATTCACTGATTTTTCATCTGCAGGTATGATATCGCACTAAACGTCAATACCCAGGGTCCTCGTAGGATTATCGAATTCGCGAGGGGCTGTCCCAACTTGCAACTCTTTCTGCATGTTTCGACTGGTAATACATCTCCCTTCCTTTACTTTGTGTGCAAGCTTCTAGATACTCAGGATTGGACTTTATCATGAAAGCATTTCATCTTTAAATCTATTTTTATAGGTGTAGTGAAGGCTTTGGAGTCTCAGAGCTGTCGAAATTATCTCAATCAGCTGTTTTTAAGCTACATAGTGTGTTTAAAACGTCGCGTACTTTTGGCTTCTACTAATCACATGGAAATGCGTAACTCACATAGCCTCTCTGTTACATTTTTGAATATTTGGCTTATCATAAAATTTGATGCCATGATACATCATCTCTTCTTTGCAGCGTTCGTTAACGGCCAAAGACGAGGAGATACTCCCGAGAAACCTTTCCGAATGGGCGATAGCATCGCAAAAGAGATGTCCGAAGACTGTATCCCAGATCTCCATGTTGCATCGGAGCTTGCGCTCTGTGCGAAAACTTTGCAGGAAGTAGTTGCTGAAGTGAGCCGAACTAGCGTATCAGCTTCTGAGCAGCAGCTAATTGTGGACAAAAAGATGAAAGAGTTGGGCATGACGAGGTAATTTTTCCAGATGAAGCTTGTTGTAAATTAATCTGGCACCCAGAAGATAGAATATGATTATACGGTTTTTGTTGATGATTCTATTGAAGATGAAGGCGTGTTTCAACGGAGGATTGTCACATAGTTTTAATGAGGTTTGAAATCTGAGGTGTCTGCCTTGAAATCTCATGCAGAGCCAAACTTTTTGGGTGGCAAGATACATATGTCTTCTCTAAGGCGATGGGTGAAATGTTAGTTGAATCTTTACGGGGTGAAATTCCAGTTGTTGTATTACGCCCTAGTGTGGTGGAGAGTACCCTTGCTCAACCATTCCCGGGCTGGATGGAAGGAATTCGGTACGTATGCGCAATTTAGTCAAGGAATGTTTTATATTAAACGGTCTACAGCTTTGATTGGAAATTATGATGCTTCGTGACAAATTTCTTTAACTACTTCATGTTGGCTCCCGGCTGTGTAGAATGATGGACCCTATTGTACTTGCCTACGCGAAGGGACAGATGACTGGGTTCCTCGCTGATCCTCGAGGCGTATTGGACGTGGTTAGTACATTAATGCATTACTCGTACACTATTCCCGAATGCTGCACAATTCATGCAGAAAAAGGATTGACGAGGAGAGTGGTGTGAGCACAATGAGAGTTTGTTGTTGCGTAACTAGGAGATGATCATATTTTAATGATCCCAGTATGTTTTGGTATACGTTATGCCACCTTAAACCACACCATTAATCCAATTTAACTGGTGATTGAATGTTCGAACAGATTCCAGCCGACTTGGTTGTAAATGCACTTTTGGCAGCCATGACAAAACATGCACAAAATCCAGGACTACAAGTGTATCAAGTAGCTTCATCCGTGGTGAATCCCATGACTTTTGAACTTTTGGCAGATGTAGCTTTGGAGCTGTTCACCAAGGATCCTATGATTGACAGAGCCGGCCAACCAGTAAAACTTCAGCGAATGCGTTTTGTGCAAAGCATGACTGCGTTCAACCTCTACTTGTGGTTTGTGTACCAACTACCTCTAAAGGCACGTTCTTTTCCACACATAATTTGATTTATTTTTCATGAATCATTGTCTGACGGGGTAAGCGTTTTATACTATTGCAGCTGGTATACTAAACCTTCGGAAAGGGCTCATCACTTTTGAAGGCTTGAGTAACTAATTTGATGATAGACCTCCTACTAGAATCCCTATTATCTGCAGAATATGGATGAAAAAATCTTTGCTGAAGCTTGACGACTTTTATGGCTGACTCAATACACTATTTTTAGTCAAAGAGAATAAACCCAAGATGTTTGTGCACTTGTACAGCTTTCAAAGATTCTCCCATGGATGAAGAGGGGGAAGTCATCTGCAAGACGGGAACTCATTGTTAAAAAAACACTTGAACAATTTAAATACTTAGCATATATCTACAAACCTTACACATTCTATGCTGGCAGGTATGTTCTGTTTTTTCAAGAACTCTGTGGTTTCCTACTTTTTCGTTATTAGCCCTTATTTGCCCTATTGCAGTGGTGACTACATGTCCTAAGTCATATTCATATCAGTATCCTCTGGCTTTACGCAGAAGGTATTGCATTGGCGGTGGTTACAGAGTTCAACAATCGAGTCTGACGCGTGTGCTTGATTCAGGTTTGGGATAGAAAACACTGAATCTCTATCGCAGGAGCTATCAGAGGAAGAACTGAACATGTTTGCTTTCAACATTCGACAAATCGACTGGGCAGATTACCTCTCCAATGTTCATATTCCCGGATTACGGAATTATGTGCTGAAAGGACGTGGAACAAGGAACTGAAGCTCTAAGGTGCAAGTCGAGCCAGAATGGTATGCTAATTGGTTGAGCGTTGACACAATAGTCACAATCAGATGTAAGGAATACTAAAAAATGATATTCATCTCCTTTGGAAGTGTCTCTATCGCATGAGGCCATCCCCTTCCTGAATAATTTTATAAGCTACAGTCACAGGCCAAGAAACTGTGCACAGTATTTGTATGAGCTCCTATGAAATGGAAGTCCTAGTAGGCTTGCTGCTATGAAACCAAAGCAAAGTTTTGGAGGTTCCAGCTCGGTGATCGATTATAAACCTCAGTTTGCAGTACATATCAACCTGTTCTGTGGGTGTGAGTACCCTACTTGTTCATCCTTTTCTTAACTGTGGATGGAAGGAGATATCAGACTCTCTGTTTCAGGGTTCAAGTCCTCCAGCAGGAAGAGCACTTGCCCTCTGTATATTCGTAGGTAGGGTAAGAGACCTCTTTCAGGCTAGTTTTATAACCACATATTAAATTGGAAAGCAACCATTGTACTTTTGAACATCTATTTTATAAGAATTCGAGGGTGACTTGTAAAACCCATTCTTGAACGCATTGACATGATCTCATTCAATAAATGTTCCTGTACTTGTCAGTGTGTGTTGGAATTGGCAGAGGGGGTCTAAATTGTCCAGTTCCATGCATAACTATCCTCTTCATTAGTCATCACCTACTTCCCCACGCCATTTCATCCATCCAACACATTCAATTGGATTGAAACCTTTATCCTCCAACCCATGTTAACGTGTACAAGGGGGAGGCCCTCAATGAAGAGTTCCTCGATTCGCCATTCATCCCATCCAAGGATTGGATTCCATGTGTAACAGTCGTCCTCTTCTTCTGAACTAAGACTGTACTTGAACAGCGTCTACCTCGCGCGGCCCCATAACCCCCCCCCCCTCCCCCCCCCCCACATCGTCATTGTGCCACAGCGGTTGTCTAACCTGCAGGAAGCTTGATCGCTGGTCCTGATGTCTTACAAATCTTTAAGGTCTGTTGTTGATATCGACGAGCTAGCAGGTGGCTCATGCTTATATTGAAGAGGACTATTGATGGCCATTTTTGGCGTATAGTGTGCCAGGGGGAGAGAGAGGGCTCTTCATATCGTTCGCCCTCATCGTCAAGCCGGTTTTCTTTACAGCATTGTCTGCATTCCCTGTCTAAGTTTTGAGCATGTAGATTCTTGTGATTTCGTCTAACAGCTGTTCCTTATTTTTTACTCTGCTATGTTGTCGAGGCTCTTGAACCTTGTGTTCTCTTTGAGAGAACCTTGACGTTGGAACATTTTTGTGACTATCGCTTGTTCCCTCGACTGTGCTGCGTAATTCAACCGCTGGTGAATCGGCTCCTCGCCCTCTCTAAATTTTATTCGGAACCGCTGTTGAGCTTAGTTATTGTTTAGACATTTCCTCCAGCTGTAGTTTAAGTATGTCTAGTGATACACAAGTGACGGTCTCTTTCTCCACCAGCGAGCCATGAGCAATAGTGTTGCACACCCATGTTGGTCGATGAATGGAGAACTGTCGTTACTACGTATCAACTAATATTATTCTCTGGCCTACAACTATTTTCAAAATATCGAGTTTCCTTCCTTAGCTTACAACTTTTAAAGCAAGGTGCAGTTTCGGTCCCTCTGGAGTCCAACCTACTACTCGAGGTCTACGTGAAGTGAATACGGAAGTAAGGTGCGAATGCGTCTGTCATTGTGTAATTTTATTCCTCTCCTTGTGCTCTTCTAAAGCATGTACGAAGACGGTCTTTTAGAATACCTACCTGCTACAAATCAAGTTTGAAATATTAATCGTTGGTCAACTCTGCTGGTTTGAGGCCGTACTCTCACTGCATTTTGTGCAACTTACTTAGGGGAGATGTTCTTTTAAACGACAAAGTACATTTCTCTCTAAAGATGAAGACGTATAAGTGCCATTCTACACACAACTCTACTTTCGATGCTGACACATTTGTCTATACGTCTGGTTATTAGCCAGCTTGATGTGTTGAATACTATAGATGATGGCTTTTTTTTTCCGGAATTACTCAATTTTGCAACCAGAAGCTTCCATGAACATTTGAGCTTTTCGAAGTTATTGGAAGAAGGATCTGAACTGGAGATTTGCAGCTAGGTCTGGAAACTGTCATCATGGGAGACGACGACCGGAAAGCAGGTCTTGAGGCAATCAACAACGAGACTGTAGACCTGGTGATGTCTGAAATCCTTGTTGTACGTTTTAATTTTCTAGCATAGTTGTAAAAGTGTCTTCTGTTAACTGGTTGTGATCAATCCCCCATCTAGATACGTGCAATTCTACTCCCCTGTCCACAATTAACAGCTCATATTCCGACAAATGTAGTGTTGTATATCATGAAGTATCATGATAGGGATCTTCAATTCCGACATTTTACTGCTTGCTATATTTCTGCTAATACACCATGCTACGTTGCGTTGTATGCTTTGCCAAAACGTCGTCCAGCGAGAGATATGTCGTCAGTTACATTTCTTCTCGTATAACTGCTCTTGCTCTAGATAAATGGAAAGAAAGAAAAATCCAAAAAAGAATATGTACCAAGCCTACAGAATAATTAACTGCTTGGCGCTCCTCCCGTGGCCCAAAATACTATTCAAGCCTCTATGGAATTTGTTTACTTTTGTACAGGACTAGAGTTTTATACTTTCTTCTTCGGTTCAATTGAATTTAGAAATTAATATGCAGGAACGGATACCACTCGAAGAAGTTTTTCAACAATTACGATGTGATAAGAATGGGTTGACATCAGAGGATGCACTAGAGCGCCTGACCCTCTTTGGGCGTAACAAACTTGAAGAGAAGAAGGTATAAATACTCCTTGACCGACATATTTGCGGAGTCGCACTTGACATTGCTTAGAAACAATGCTGGCTATACTGATTTACTTCTAGTTGAGGCTGCAAAATGTTGATTGAATTAAGGGCTTCACCTCTGAAACTCGGGTTGTAAACCACATCACAAGTGTAACAGTGGGACATGGAATTCGCAGGAGAGCAAGTTCTTGAAGTTCCTTGGATTCATGTGGAACCCTTTGTCATGGGTCATGGAAGCTGCCGCAATAATGGCAATTGCACTTTCTAACGGAAATGTAAGAAATTCCTCAAATGCCCTTGTGGATGGAGGATATGATTTGGTTGCTTATTGTTTGTGGTGCTAGTTGAATTTCACAAACTACTTTATTAGTTGCATGCCTTCAAGTTGCAGCATAATTAATTTATATACAGTTCTTTAATCTGGTATTGTCCACAGGGCCGTCCACCAGATTGGCAGGATTTCGTTGGAATCATCACTCTGCTAGTTATCAACTCCACTATATCTTTCATAGAGGAGAATAATGCTGGAAATGCCGCGGCAGCTCTTATGGCTCGACTAGCACCAAAAGCTAAGGTATTGTAGTCCAACATGTTCGTTTCAAGATTTGTCGATTGTTTAACATATGAATTGGTAGTAGAGTAATTCTTATGCTTTCTAACACCCAGTTATAAGATCGAATTTAAGTTTTAGACAGATTCAAGTCAATCTGCTCACAAATAAGAGCACTTTCTGCTGCCGTAGAAAAGTCCAGATTCTAGGGTCTGATTATAATACTGGCTCCTTGGAAAACCTTGTTATCTGTCATTACCGCAGGTTTTACGAGACAATCGATGGAATGAGCAAGATGCCAGTATATTGGTTCCAGGTGATATTATCAGCATAAAGCTTGGTGACATTGTCCCAGCTGATGCGCGGTTGCTTGATGGAGACTCTCTGAAGATTGATCAGGTGAATAAGCATTTTTTCTCAGAAATAATGCACAAGAAGAATTTCCTCTTCTATCGCTTGACAATTAGCTCTTTGACATACTTCAAGTGGCTAGACTGTACTTGAGATCTGAAAGACTTGCTGCACAGTAAACAGATTTTTTTTTTTTTTTTTTTTTTTTTTTTTTTTTTTACTCCTCCTGCATTCCATTGGTTCATTATGAGACTTCTATAAATCAGTTGGGTATGCCCTTCATTGAAATCTTAATGTCTGGACTAATAATATAATATTTCGCGTCATTGCAGTCAGCTCTCACTGGTGAATCGCTTCCAGTAACCAAGCACCCTGGTGACGGAGTATTCTCAGGTTCGACGTGTAAGCAAGGGGAAATTGAAGCTGTTGTTATCGCTACAGGAGTTCACACTTTTTTTGGAAAAGCTGCACATCTAGTGGACTCAACAAACCAAGTTGGTCACTTCCAGAAGGTGAAGAAGGCCGATCAGCAGAGAAGTTTTCTTAGCAAGCACGATTATTAAATCTGTGTAGCCTTTTTACAATGTCTTAAACCGTCCCAATTCTGGCAAGAATTAACTATAAGTTCTGTACTGCGCAGTATTACAATCCTTATAAACAATGCCCTCATGTGCAGGTTTTGACATCAATTGGAAATTTCTGCATTATTTCAATTGCCATCGGAATGGTGGTGGAAATTATAGTGATGTACCCAATTCAGCGACGCTCCTACAGGGCTGGTATTGAGAATCTGCTGGTTCTTCTTATTGGAGGCATCCCTATTGCCATGCCCACTGTATTGTCCGTGACTATGGCAATTGGGTCTCACCGTTTGTCTCAGCAGGTACATAGCAAACCATTGAACTTTTACTCTGCTGCATCTAATTTAGGATTGATTTATTCGTATCCTTAACCTCAATTCCAAATTCTTTTTGTAGGGTGCAATTACCAAAAGAATGACAGCAATCGAAGAAATGGCGGGCATGGATGTACTGTGCAGTGACAAGACTGGAACCCTGACCTTGAATAAACTGTCCGTGGACAAGAACTTAGTCGAGGTGAACTTTACAGCATTTTTCATTTGTTGAATATCCCCAGGAATACTTTCTCGACACCCGAAAGTTGAGTGATTGATGCTATGAACTGATCATACGAATATGTAAACAAATCTATTTAGATGTGCGGTTTCTTTGGACTTTCCCTGGTAGAAATTTAAGATGCGCTGATCCTTCTTTCACTAGTGAATTGTGCTTCTCCTTCAGTGTTTCTGCAAAACAGTCGACAAAGAGGAAATAATGCTTCTGGCGGCTCGTGCCTCTAGAATCGAGAATCAAGATGCTATAGATGCTGCAATTGTGGGCATGCTCGCTGATCCGAAGGAGGTACATTTCCTCTGTCATTTTAGTGATGTGTCGCACAAAATTAATGTGTGCTGAGGAACCTAATCTTTTCATATATTTATGCAGGCTAGGGCGGATATCACAGAAATTCATTTTCTCCCTTTCAACCCGACTGACAAACGCACAGCACTCACTTATATTGACAGAGATGGAAAGTGGATTCGAGTCAGCAAGGGAGCACCTGAGCAGGTAATACTCCATGTGGGCTATTCTTAATTAGCCGTGTGCATACAGCGTTTCTTTTTTTGAAAACATTCGTGCATATTTTGTCTCTCAAACTGATCCATGCAAATCCCTCGTTCAATCTAGCGTAATTTGTATTTAAAACAAGTAGCACTCTGTACCATGGACTGTTCCTTTCGTTGCACAGATTCTCCAGCTTGCTCATAACAAGAATGAAATTGCGGCAAGAGTGCATTCCATAGTTGACAAGTTTGCTGAACGAGGCCTTCGATCTCTTGCAGTTGCCAAGCAGGTAAGGATGCAATGTTATCAATCATTAACATGATCTCTGAGTATTAGATGTACAGATGACTGTTCGTAAAGTGGCTTGATCTGTTTCGCATGAACACAATACTACGAGATACCAAGGAATGAAGAGGAATGTTATCAAGTACTTTTGTTTGTCCTTAAGCAATGTTATTTCGTAAGTGCAGAAATACTTGTGAAAGAGAATTTGTGCAGTTCCCTCTGATATCCAGATGAAAGTCTTTGATTTTCTTCTCCAATTCTAATTCTCAAGCCGTTTACCTTTCATTCCTACAACATGCAGGAAGTACCTCAGGGTAACAAGGAGAGTGCCGGAGGACCCTGGGTTTTTTGTGGTTTATTACCTCTCTTTGATCCTCCACGTCATGATAGTGCTGATACCATCAGGAGAGCTCTCAACCTTGGCGTCAACGTCAAGATGATCACAGGTTTTTGTAATCACAGTTTATCTGTTTGTGAGATTTACAATCAAAGAATTAGCGTAAGTAGATCTCAGTTGTTGGATTCTAGGAACAAGTGGTCCGTTGATCAACACATACTGCATCGTTACTGCAGGTGATCATCTTGCAATTGCAAAAGAAACTGGGCGAAGGCTTGGGATGGGCACAAACATGTACCCATCATCGTCTTTGCTTGGCGAGAGCAAGGATACCTCGATTGCAGGGCTGCCAATTGACGAGCTAATTGAGAAAGCTGATGGTTTCGCAGGAGTATTTCCAGGCATGTAGATATCTTGTGGTTAAGAACATGCTCTTCATGGTTTATCTTGCTTCATTCATGTATTTTCTCTCTCAAATTGAAGTATTTCAAAATGTCCTGTGGTCAATCAAGACATTAAGAAAATATTCCGAGAAATTCAGGATGAGAATATCCTTGATTCCGTACCTTGGGATGTGGTCAGAACACAAGTACGAAATAGTAAAGAGGCTTCAAGCGAAGAAGCACATTTGTGGCATGACTGGAGACGGAGTCAATGATGCACCTGCTCTAAAGAAGGCAGATATTGGTATTGCTGTGGCCGACGCCACAGATGCAGCCAGGAGTGCTTCAGATATTGTCCTTACAGAGCCTGGACTAAGTGTTATCATTAGCGCTGTGCTGACTAGTCGTGCAATTTTCCAAAGAATGAAAAATTACACAGTAAGGTGCCATTTGGATGGTTATTGATCATATTCATGATTTACAGCAAATATGTATGAGGACCATTTGATCTCAAACTTGGACTTACTGTATTTTCCGTCATTGGGGTGCTTGCTCTTGCAGATCTACGCAGTATCAATCACAATTCGTATTGTGGTAAGATGGGATACACGATTTGTTCTGTGATGCGTTCTTGTATTGACGGTTGTTTCATCTGTGAGTGGGCCAATTTAGTTTGTACCTAGGTGGTAATATAATCAAATTCTTTCTTCTCATAAAAAATGGTGATAGTTATGAATAGTTTACATAATGGAACATACTGCTGCACATTTTACAAGTTGCAACGTTGCGTACTGTG